TGTTTTAAAGTGACGATTGGTGCTGATGTTTTGGGCAGATAATATAAGATGACTCTTCTTTCTGCTCCTTTTCTTGTCTGTTTAATGTTGTGACAATTAATGTCGTTATATACTTTATGAATGTAACAAAAGAAATAATAATCATAGTCATACAAGAAGCGCTTCATACATTTTCACTAGAATCATTTGTACGATTCATTCTGCAGTAAATCCAACAGAGATCAAAGCAGAACCCGTCCCAGCTCAGGAGTAAGTTACACTCAAGTTGTAGATGATAATAAAATGCATATTAAAATCTAGTGGCACTTGGCAAGTAAACAAACTGCAAGTCAGACCTACTATTTTAAATAAGTCTGTTAGCATCATTTGTTTCACAGATACATTGAGTGCACTGTTCAGGGCTTATAAAAGAGTGAGGGGATGAAGCACTCAGCTTAAATATGCAAGATTTGTGTGAATGAAACAAAACACAACTCCAGGTTTGTATTTAATGAGGAAAAAACATTTTAACATAGAACAGAAAACAGTGTAATATGGGCCCTTTAAATACATGGACATTTACATATTACAGTAAGATATAAAACATTTAATGAAATTTATTTAATATACAGGTCCATGTTTTTCTCCGCCAAGTGCACGAGTATGAGATCACACGTGTATGTACCAAACGCCCCTGCTAAACCACTAAACCTGGGGGAAAGACTGCATTGTTAGTTAAATTGGTGCACCTAGCCCTTATCCAGCACTTTTAAATGAGCCACGGAAACAGCATAACAAGATGGTCGGTGTAGGGCAACACAATGCAAGTAAATAGATAGGAAAATTTTGTTCTAAATAGAAACATGGACATGGACATGGATATTTTTTATATAATATAAAAAAATACAAACAGAGATCGTAATGCATGGGCTAAAAATTAGGGCCCGACTAATATATCGGTTGGCTGATATTATTGGCCGATATGGCCACTTGGAGACATACTGACTAATGGCCTAAATCTAGTCAATATGGGACAGTAGTCCACGTCTGCATGTTATAACCCTAACCCTAACCCATTCTATATATTATCCCCATATATATATTTTATGGGGATAATATATAGAATGGGCTCAAATGAAGCTTGTGAGGCTCAAGGTTACAGGAGCGAATTTGGAGACAGGCTCTATGTTGTGATGATTTTTGATGGACAAAATAGCGGGGGAAAAAAACCCCCACCAGGATCATGTAGAGCGGGTTAATCCAAACATTTTAAGACCATAATGACGAGGCTCACAGCATCAGTTACAGAGAGAGGGGCCACAATATTCCAATGAAAGTCAATGAGAGGCAGGGTCAGCAGGAGCTGCATGCGAACTTCGTGTTGTTGAACTATTGTTGTGGCTATACAAAGCCACAGGCTGTATATAGAGCTTACATTCTCTATATTACAGCAATTTAACCCAATTTACAGATAGATACACATGCTAATATCTGGCGGCGCATCAATATTTATCTGAAGAGTGATGTATCTTTGTCTGTAACGCCATACTGACCCTGAATGAATCATGTGACTCCTGTGCTCTTGTTTACACAATAGTGCTCTCTGAGACTGCAGTGAGGCGCTGACTTTAAATGCCCTTGTGTCTGATCTAAGATATGAACCATAAATAAAAGTGAACTTCAGCACTGTTTAGGTCAATAACAAAACTACTGCTTGTTTTTTATCAAAGTGCGAGTGCGAAGAAGAGAGGACTGTCCCAGAGACAGAGGACACACGCAGCTGCTGTCAACATGCTGGATTATATTCTTTTTACTGATGATAGTTTTGAGTCAGGATTAAAAGGACACTTCTTTGTGAAGACTTGTGATCTGAGAGGTGTCTGTATGAGCTGGCTACCAAGGCATCAGTTTTGAAGCTACTTTTCGCTCTGGTCAGCGCCTGGCTGCTGTAAAGTACCACACATGAACAGCCTGTTTTCTCTACACTGGCCCAGTGTTAGTGTAAAGTGACGATAGTGGCTGCACACACGTTACAGGACACGCATTGATATGTAGATGAGCTATGAACAGTGGTGTGAATGATTAGCATTTATGAATATAATTAACTCTAATTACACCGGCCAGCCGATAAAGGTTAAGTGACAGTTTACTTACATTGTTTACTGGCTGCAACGTCATGCAAAAATAACATTAGCCCGATCTACTGTTTTTAAATATGGCTGTAAAGAAGCAAAATTAACAATTAATGTATCCTAAATAAACCCAATTTAAAATCCAATAGAGCCAGACCTAAGTTTTATAACTAGTTGAAGATTTACAGTGAATTTTTAAATCAATACATATATCGACTTTCATATCAGCTATCAACACTTCCAAAGCCACTTTTTATTGGTGTCATATCGGACCAAAAAAAATCCATATTGGTTGGGTCCTACTGAAAATAATGCAATACAATAAAATGGTAGGGATTTGCAAAAAAATTAAAACCAAAAAAGAAAAAACAAACAAAAAAAACAGAAACTATAACTGAAACTTAATAAAGTGGAGGATTCTATGTTTTTTTTTTTTTATATATAGCTTTCTTATTGTTGGTCTGGGCAATGGATTGGACGTTTAGATCAAATCAAATCAAACTTTATTTTCATACAAAAATGCAACACAAAGCGCTTTACAGTGATTAAAAACATATATACACACAACACGTCCACCCTCACCAAGAGCCAGTGAGAAAAAGATGAAATTATTTGTTAAAAGCTATAAAAAACGGCATTTGGTTAGTGTATTTGCATTTGTGTATCTGAAATTTGTACTTTAAAATAAAAAACAGTGAACATGCACATAGTCTACAATTAAAGGAAGTGCACTATTAGCATGCTAGTTGTTGTTAGCTTTACTGTGGGGGTAGAACTCCGCTCTGGTTTCTGAAAGTTGTGAAAAGCTCTTCTAAACTCATTGCTTTGGACCAAAATTAATCAAGTACAGCACATTTAAGAGAAAAATATGTATAATAATGTGGAAGTACGAATTGTGCGCTTATTTTGTATCCTTGAGCAAGACACTTCACCCACATTGCATACTTCAGTTATAGTGGTCGTATGATATGGCTTATTGAACGTCTTTCCTTGGACATTTACTCTAGCTGTCAGCGACTGGACTTTTTATCTGTTTATTTGGCTGTTTTGTGGTTTTAATTTCACGCTTCGTGTTTTTAAGCAATTAGCATTTCATCCTCTGCTTTACGCTCTGAGTGCAGGGCAAACAAGAGCAAAAGCTGCAGCTAGCTCGCTAATTTGAGCTAGAAAGGCTATGGGTCAATAAAACAAAATAGAGAATATTGTTGAAAGAGGTTTTGAAAATGTGCGTTCAAGCAAAGTATTGTCTCGTTTATTAAAGGGTTCATATTACACTGTTCTCTGATCTGTGTTATAATGTTGTTTCCTCATCGCAAACAAACCTGGAGTTGTGTTTTGTTTTTATTCACACATGTTTAACACACAAACTCTGCAAATTTAGGAGTTCTTCTCTCAAACTGAAATCACTGTTCCACCTTGTGATGTCATGTGGTAATACAGGAAGTGCTAAGTCCATACACCTTCACTATAGAATCATTTGGGTGTCTGGAGCTCTGAAATTACCAATAAAGGTAAAAGGTAGATGTCAACTTTAAAATGACTGTGTCATGACATCACAAGGTGGAGCAGAGCATTTTGAGCTTTGGAGATGTGGACGAATTAAACAAAACACAACTCCAGGTTAGGGGTGTGCAAAAATATTGAAATATTGATATATCGTATCGTTTAATGAGATGATACAGTATCTATATCGTGGGCTACTGTATCGATATATAACCAAGAGTATTTTTTTGGTATATTTTATAAAATTATTTAGTTACAGAGCTACAGTTTTGTTGCTTGTTCAGGCGAAGGAAACATTTATGTGACACATTTGACATTTTCACTGTTTTGATGATTAAAATGTTTGTGTTTCACATGAACTTTGCACAAGAAGTGGTTTAACAAAAACTTTTAGTATCACCGCCATGACTTAGACATTATTTTTATTTTTTTGGACTGTATCGAATTGATTTGAAATATATCGTATTGAATTGTATGGAATTGTAAGCTCACTGTATGGAGATATGTATTGTATCGTGGCCTGTGTATCAGGATATGTATAATATGGGCAACTTCTGAATGATACCCAGCCCTACTCCAGGTATGTTTTGGTGAGGTAACAACATTCTGACATGGCATAAAGGTCACAAGAGAACATTTTGTATGATATAGAACCTTTAAGAAAATTATATGTAAAAATCATCTACAAGTTGTAAGTGACATCAAGATAAGATACAGTCGCTGTCTGCATTTGACCCATTCTTCAGTGCTGATGTTGGAAAACAAGGTACCCAAAATAAACTACCTTTTGACCTTTTTACACTGTTACCATGCCAGATATACTTAAAAGTTATTGTTACTACTGTATTTTTTATACATAAGGTGCACCGGATTATAATGTGCATTAAGCGACACAAACAAACAACACTTGAGACTGATCCCTTAACTCAGGTGTCCACGATCCATTGGCAGATCATGGTGTGATTCACCTGGTGTTGCCTCTCTGTCTTGGTGAATGTGTATTATGAATGTGAATGTGGGTGGATAATTTAAGTTTGTTTTTTTATTTCCTATGAGGAGAACTCAAATAAACATTAAGTAATAATGTGTTTTATGCAGCTTTGCACACATTTGTTTACGTTTTACAGAAACAAAAATTAAAACCACATGGTTAAGTTTCATAAACGATAAGCGCTGAAAAAAACTGCGATTTTGACAGAATTAATTCTAAGGTGCACCGGATTATAAGGCCCACTGTTGATTTTGGAGAAAATTAAACGATTTTTAGTACGCCTTGCAGTCCAAAAAATACAGTACTACTACTGCCAGCTACTACTTGTACGAGGAAGTTTTTCTACAGATGTTCAACAAGTTCTTAATTCTCTGTGCTTTTTTCTGTTTGTGCAGGATCCAGCCGATAGAGCCCATGGTGGACCATATCCGGGCCATAGCTCAGAACATGTCAGACACAGCGGTGAAGGTGGAGAAGATCCTCCAGCAGCGCACCGTGGTCAGCAGCAAAGGTGAGGGCTACTGTAAGAACTGACTGTTACTAATAGGGCCGAGTATCATTCAGAAGTTGCTGATACATACCTCAACACATAGGCCACAATACAATACATACCTCGATACATAGGCCACGATACGATACATACCTCAATACATAGGCCACAGTACGATACACACCTTGATACATAGGCCACGATACGTTACATACCTCGATACATAGGCCACGATACGATACATACCTCGATACATAGGCCACAATACAATACATACCTCGATACATAGGCCACAGTACGATACATACCTTGATACATAGGCCATGATATGATACATACCTCAATACATAGGCCACAATATGATACATACCTTGACACATAGGCCACAATACAATATATACTTCGATACATAGGCCATGATACGATACATATCTCGATACAGTGAGCATACGTTTCCATACGATTCAGTCTGATATATTTCAAATCGATTCGATACGGTTCAATTAAATATTAATGGGCAAGTAATGGCTGTGATACTAAAAGTTTTTGTTAAATCACTTCTTGTGCAAAGTTAATAAGTTTTCTTCTTCCCACTCCTTTTTGGGCAAAAAAATTATGATAATAATAATAATAATTAGTTGTTATTTTAATTTCTATTATGATTTCACTTATGTTATATGTTCCATTGTATATGAATGTAAATCTTTACTTGCCCAAAATAAATGCATAAATAAATAAATAAATAAATAAATGAAACACAAACATTTTAATCGGCAAAAATGTGAAAATGTCAAATGTGTCGAGTTTCCTTCCTCTGAACGACCAAAAGCTGTAACAAAATAGTTTAGCAAAATGCACAAAAAAATACTCTTGGTGATATATCGATACAGCAGCCCACGATCGATACTGTACGATGCGATATAACAATATTGCAACGTTATTTCGCTCCCTGTCAAACCAGATGCTTTAAAACAGACCTTTAAAATGATCTAGTTCTGTTTTTCATGTTTTTGAGACAGTAAAACTCAGGTACGGCGCCTTTGACTTACCAACACTGTAATATTTGTGAACAGCACCACCTTTTCTGTGACCAGAATCTCGATTTTTGAAGGTGTACCTCGCATCTCATTGTACTTGCCAATTTGCTCTTCAGTATTTCCACCCAAATGATCCTCAGTTACCCCATTTGTTGCCAGGTTGTGTTGGATTTAATTTAAAAGAGATGAGTACAGACAGCAGGAACAGCGACTTGTGGTTATGATTCTAATCAAAAAAAAGAAAGAAAAAAAGAAAAAAAAAATCCTCCAATTCTTTGTGTGAGATTGTGCTCGATGAGGCCTGGCGCTAAGCCCGTCCACTGGAAATGCGCCCTTAATTAGCCTTCATGTTGTGGGTCTGCAAGGACAAGAGAGTGAGAATAGAAAGAAGAGAAGGGGATGAGAGAGGAAGAGAAAGGAGAGGGGGAAAAAAGGACTGAGAAGAGGAGGTGTAGAGGAAGAAAGAGAGAAGGGAAAGGAGGGGGAGAGGAAGAGAGAAAGTTAGAACACAACAGGCGAGAGGAAGGAAGAAGATGGTAAAAAAAATGGGAGGTGGTGAAGAAGAAGAGAGGGAGAGAGGAGAAGAAGAGAGGGAGAGGAGGAGGAGAGAAGAGGGAGAGAGGATGGATAAAGAGGAGAGGAAAGAGAGAGGCGGGGGAGAGGAAGAGGAGAGAGAGAGAGAGGTAGAAGAGGGAGAAAGGATGTTGAAAGAGGAGAGGAAGAGAGGGGGAGAAGGAGAGAGGATAGGAAAGAGAGAGGGAGAAGGAGAGATGAGAAGAGAGGAGGTGGAGAGGAAAGAGAGAGGAGGGGGAGAGGAAGAGGAGCTAGAGAGGGTAGAGAGGTAGAAGAGCGAGAGAGGATGTTGAAAGAGGAGAGAAAGAGAGGGGGAAAAGTAGAGAGGAGAGGAGAGGAAGAGAGAGGAGGGGGAGAGAATAGAGAGATGGCACAGGGGTAGAGGAGGGAGAGAAGATTGAGAAAGAGGAGAGGGAGAGAGGAGAGGAAAGAGAGAGAAGAAGAGAAGGAGAGTGGAGAGGAGTGGAAAGAGAGAAGGGGGAGAGGAGAGAGAGGGGAGAGGGGTAGAAGACGAAAGAGAAGAGGGAGAGAGGGGGGAGAAAGAGGAGAAGAAGAGAGGAGGTGGAGAAGGAGAGAGGAGAGGAAAGGGGGGGTAGAAGATGGAGAGAGGTTGGAGAAAGAGAGAGAGGGTAGAGAGGTAGAAGAGGAAGAAAGGTTGTTGAAAGAGGAGATGAAGGGGGGGAGGAGAGAGGAGAGGAAAGAGAGAGGAAGGGGAGAGGAGAGAGAGATGGGAGAGGGGTAGAAGAGGGAGAGAGAATGGAGTAAGAGGAGAGGAAGAGAGGAGGTAGAGAGGGAGAGAGGAGAGGAAAGAGAGAGAGGGAGAAGGAGAGATGAGATGAGAAGAGAGGAAAGACAGAGGAGGGGGAGAGGAAAGAGAGAGAGGGGTAGAAGAGGGAGAAAGGATGAGAAAGAGGATAGGAAGAGGGGGTGGAGAAGGAGAGAGGAGATGAGAGGAAAGAGAAAGGAGAGGGAGGGGAGGGGAGGGGAGAGAAGAGGGAGAGAGGAGAGGAAAGAGAGGAGGTGGAGTAGGAGAGAGAAGAGGAAAAAGAGAGGACGGGGAGAGGAGACAGAGGGGGTAGAGGAAGGCGAGAGAAAAGGGAGAGAGGATGGAGAAAGAGGAGAGGAAGAGAGGAGATGGAGAAGGAGAGAGGATAGGAAAGAGAGAGAGGAGAGAGAGAACAGGGAGAGGGTAGAAGAGAGGAGAGAGAGAGAGGGATGAGATGAGAGAAAGAGTAGAGAGGAAGAAGGGGAAAGAGAGCCAAGAGAGAGAAGAATAGTAAGAGTAGAGAAACGTGAGGATGAGAGGTCGATGAAGAAAGCAGAGGGGGAGGGGGAGACGAGTGAAAGAGAGACAAAACAGAGAGAAGGAATAAAAGAGAGGAAGAGAAAACGGCAAGGAGGAGAAGAGGAATGAGTTTTGACGACTGGCACTAATCTGATTGTGATCGGGGATTGGTGGGTTGGCGGCACCAGTGAGGATATATATTATGCAGGAGCTTGTTAGGCGCTTGCTTCTCTCTCTCCCCTAATTTATCTGTGTTTATCCAGACGAGCTAATGCTAATCAATACCTCCCATTTAGGCTCATGGCTAATTAGGAGATGCTAGGGTGTGGAAAATCTAACCTGTTTAGAGCTACAAGTGTTATATAACTCACCAAGACTGCAGTAAATGACCTCATCTAATCCCTTTACACTTAACTACTACAGATATATATCAATAACTGAAATATCGTGATACTTGATAGGGGTGTAACGATATTGGCGATATCCAGTGTTGGGGAGTAACAGATTACATGTACCGGCGTTATGTAATCAGAGTACAAATTATGAGTAACTGTATTCGGTTACAGTGACTGTTTCAGTGAGTGGTAATTGGATTACAGTTACTTTGTTGAAATAAATGGATTACACAGAAGTATTTTCCTGTTTTCATATTTTGGGCTATATCCCTTCTTTTTTTTCCATTTTTTTTTTTTTTTTTTGGTAATTCCACTTGTTGCCAGACATTAAATCAGGTCTAAACCAGGTCTAAAACCAGGTCTAAATCCAGGTCTAAAACCAGGTCTAAATCCAGGTCTAAAACCAGATCTAAAACCAGGTCTAAATCCAGGTCTAAAACCAGGTCTAAACCAGGTCTAAAACCAGGTTTAAACCAGATCTAAACCAGGTCTAAACTAGGTCTAATCTAGGACTAAACCAGGTCTAAAACCAGATCTAAACCAGGACCAAACCAAGAATAAACCACGTCTAAACCAGGACCAAACCAAGACTAAACCACGTCTAAACCAGGACTAAACCAGGACAAAAACCAGGTCTAAACTATGTCTCAAACAGGATTTAACAGGACTAAACCATGCTGTGTGGACGTGTCTCCTCCTCTTCTATCAGTAATATTTTTAATTTGGTTAAGTAAAGTCAGAATATAAAACGATAAAGTGATTTGCATCCATTTTCCACGGTGGACGGCGTTGGGTTTAAACCAGGTGTGTCCAAACTATGGCCCGGGGGCCAAATGCGGCCCTCAGACAAAATTTTCTTGGCCCTCAGGCTTCCAGGAAAACTGGCCCAAATTACTTCATTTGCTTCAATGAAAAATAAGCTTTTTATTGCAAGTTTTTTGAAAATCGACCTTGATAAAGTGAATATTTAATATTTAGTGTGTGGTTTTAAGGATCTTAGCACAAATAAAGACTGATGGCTCATTCTAACGTGTTAAACATGCACATATTTCAATTATTCACTGTACTGAGCACCAGTCTACAGTCCTCGATCAGCCCTCTGCTTTGTCTGTGTTTAGATATGTGGCCCTTCCTGAAAAAAGTTTGGACACCCCTGGTTTAAACGGTTAGTTGCAAAACTGGAGCCGAAATATAAAATGCCGTCGCAGTAAAGTTTTTTTTTTTAATTTCCCGTGAGGACAACTCAAATATACATTGAGTAATAATATGTAATAATGTGTTTAATGCAGCTTTGCGCAGCTTTGTTTATGTTTTACAGAAACAAAACTTAAATCAATGTGTCTCATTTGCATAAACGCTGAAAAAAACAGCTCGCTCCTTGTGCTCTGCTGTTCAGCTTCTGTCTGACTAACTCCACGAGGCTCCTGATTACAGTTTTATTACAATTGTTTACTTGTTACTTGAATTTTGTACTTCAAATTCAAAGGCTTTTCAAGCTGTTCAAAATGTCATTGATATGAATAGGACAATAAATGTACCAAATGACTGGTCAAAGCCTTTTATAATGTCAGTCTTTTTATTATGTAGAATATTAAAATATCATGAGACTACCCACCATATCGTGAGCTTTCCTATGATATTGCAATAAATATCGTACCGTGACGATATCATATGGTGAGACTTGGATATTGTTACACCCCATAGTGATAATGTGTCATTGTGTCATTGTGTCATAAATACATGGTTTTACAGTAGCTTATGAACATAGGGAACTACATGTCCCATGATTCATTTCAGTGTAGACAACATGAAGAGACATGTTTTTTACTTGAATTCTTGGGATTATGACGGTAATAATTCACACCAAAATCTTACCAAGGTATTTTAAATGCAAAAAATTATATCAGCCTCTCCGAAATATCGTAATAAATATCGTACAGTGAGATGTATATCGTGATAATACCGTACCCTGAGATTTGGATTAACTATTAACTACTACTACTATTACTACTACTACTACTACTACTACTACTACTACTACTACTACTACTACTACTACTACTACTATTACTACTACTACTACTACAACAAAAAGCCTTTATTTGTGTTTTTTACCTTGAAAACATCCTTCCGTACTGCGAGCTGGTTTAGACTTAGACAAACTTTATTGATCCACAAGGGAAATTATTTGGACACAGTAGCTCAGACATCACAATAAATATGATAAGAAAAAAATATATAAATGGTAATAATACATTCTAAATAAATAGCAAAAAGAGCAAGAAACAGGTGTCAAATAAGACATAATTATATAAATGTAAATATACAGTAAAAATAAAATAGAAAGCTCACCAATGATTTAAATGCAGTTTTTTTGTCTCCAGATGTTGAAGCTCCAGCGAAGCAGTGTGAGATTCCCAAAGACCCTCTCTTCCCCGACTGCTCCTCCAAAATGGATGTAAGTCTTCTTCCTCCTCCTCCTCTTCCTTCTCCTCCTTCTCCTGCTCTCCTCCTCCTCTTCCTCCTTTGCTTCTCTTCTTCTCCTCCTGCTCTCCTCCTTTTCCTCTTCCTCCTTTTCGTCCTCCTTCTCTCCTTCTCTTTTCCTCCTCCATCTCCTCTTCTTCCTCCTTCTTTTCTTCTCCTCCTCCTGCTCTCCTCTTTTCATCTTTCTTCTCCTCTTTCTCCTTCTCTTCTCCTCCTGCTCTCCTCCTCTTCCTCTTTCTCCTCCTCATCTTCCTTTTCTTCTTCTTCTCCTCCTTCTCTTCTCCTCCTCCTCCTGCTCTCTCCTCCTCTTCCTCCTTCTCTTCTCCTCCTCCTCTCTCCTCCTCTTCCTCCTTTTCTCCTCCTTCTCCCTACTCTGCTTTTCTCCTCCTCTTCCTCCTTCGCTTCTCCTCCTCCTCTTCCTCCTTTGCTTTTCCTCTTCCTCCTTTTCTTCTCCTCCTCCTGCTCTCCTCCTCTTCCTTTTTCTCCTTCTCATCCTCCTTCTCTTCTCCTGCTCCCCCTGCTCTCCTCCTCCTCCTCTTCCTCCTTTTCTTCTCCTCCTCCTCTCCTCCTCTCCTCCTTTGTTTCTCATCTTCCCAATTCTCTTCTCCTCCTGCTCTCCTCCTCCTCTTCCTTCTTCACCTCTCTTCCTCCTCCTGCTCTCCTTCTCTTCCTCTTCTCCGCCTCGTCCTCCTCTTCTCCTCTTCTCCTTCTTCTCCTCTCTCTCCCTTCCTCTCTCCCTCTCCTCCTCCTCTTCCTTCCTCTCCTCTTCCTCCTTCTTCTCCTCCTATCTTTACCCCTTTTATCTCTAACCTTGAGTAAATTCTCTATCTAAACCCGCTCTGTTATCCACAAACATAAACGTCTTCGAATCGAAGGCTAAGAAAAATATAATAGCATTTTTATCGGGACATTGCTTTAAATATGGTCGAATGAGATATTGCTTCATAAAAAAATTCAAACACTATGAAAGCACGTGTCGGTAGAAAGTGAAAAAAAAAAAAAAAAAAGAAACTGGTAGGTGCAAATGAACAAAAGCCAATGTAAAGTAATTGTGCTTGAAGCTGTAGGATGAACGCCTGCAACAATACTCTTTCATATGTTAATGTTATTGTATGTTTATGGATGAGGTCTTTGCGTGTATGTGAAGAAAGCTATACATTTATTATTTTATTTTTGTTGTTTTATGAAGATAGATAAACCAAGTTACAGACCCGTTGAAGTGAACCTATTATGAAAAATCGACTTTTCAACGCTTTTTAATCATGTTACAGTTATTTTCTCTCACGATTTACACATCCGAAGTTGTGTCTGGAAAGATTTGTGATTTAATGGCTTATCTTCGAGACTTAATTTGTTCTCCAGTTATTTTCTTAACCGGTGATGCACATAGGATTCGACATTGGCGATAAACCGGTGTGAGAAAGTATTTTGACCCCCATAGTATATTGTATATTTATTTAATATACTGTATTGTACGGGCTATTAATTGCTCTGGATTGTAAGAAGCACTGTCATTAAATGGTCTATTTTCGAACTTTTTTCACAAATAAACCACACCGGACTTTAAACAAAACACAACAGTTGGATGGGTCAGTTGGACTTTGTTTGGCGCGTTCACGGTGACTCTGGGCTTTGTTCAGTTGTGGCGTGTAGGGAGGGTGCTGTCTGGGACCGCTGGATCGTCGGCGTGTTCGCAGTGACTCAGTTGTTCAGTTGTGGCTCAGAGTGGTACATTGCACTCGCTTTTTCGGTTCGTTCCTCCGTTCTGTTCTTCATCCGAGTGAAGTGATGAGTGTGGCTGAGGGTGTGTTTCGCTGCGCGGTCGCTGTCTGCTCCGTGTGTGTTTGCGTGCGCTGCGGGTGGTGCGGCTTTGTAGTTTACTGAAGTTGTGCTGGGACACCCGAGTGGATTCGTGTATAGGGTGTTCTGGATTTTGGGGCACGCGGTCATTTTTTGATGGGGTTGGAGGCTTAAGAGCGCGTCTAATAGCTTGGAAAATACGGTATTTTAGTATATATTTTAACACAACATGACTAAATTCAAGGTAATTATTCTTACAAACCATTGCCTAAACTGACATTACGATTAAGGATTATCTGAACATAGCAAACTAAAAACCATAACAATGTAAAATACAATAAAAAAGTGACAAGATTGCGTTACATTTACACAAAATATCAAGTCGTTATCCTTCAAAACATTCCTTAAAATACCTTAAAAGAAAGTGAATATGTAGCAGTATACAATAAAAGTAAACTACATGAGAAATAATGATCAGATAAATAACTACTAAAGAAAAAAGTAAGGGGAGTCAAAATCCTATGGGGGGGTCAATTTACTAGAGAGGTATGTTGACCCCGGGGTCAATATGCTATGGGGGTCAAAATACTACCTCACACCGGCTATACAGCTACTGTATAATCTATGATGCTTGTGGATCATTTTGTTATCGTTTCCACATTTTAAATCACAATATTAAAAATCTTAATAATAGAAACATCATCACAACAGAGTTTGCACTTCCAATGGATAGCTGTACCAAAATGACTACACAACTCTGCTGAATCTTATGCTTTTCACAGATTAAGAAAATTTAAATGGAGTATGAAGTAAGTACAGAGCAGTGTACGTGAGGTGGTAGTGGTGAGGTGTGTATGACGCTCTTTTTAGGTGCTCCAAAACATCAATTATTTCAATAAAGCACTTCTTTCTAAACGATTAGATGACAGGATAAGTCTGTGTTAAAATGTAACGCAGAGATAAATTTTTCTTTAAAAGTTCCTCATGCTTGTGTTCTCTGCTACTCTCCCCCCTGAGCCCCTCCCTCCTTACCCCCGTGTGTCAATCAAACCCGCTCATGATTGGCTCATTATCGGCTCATGTTTAGGTAAATCTCATTCAGAACTCGCGTCCTTTTGTTTTGTCCTTTTATGGTGAAATGGAGGTGTTAATGGGGCGTGGCTTGTGTGTGCAGGTTTGTGCTGCAGGCAGTGTTGGGGAGTAACAGATTACATGTACCGGCGTTACATAATCAGAGTACAAATTATGAGTAACTGTATTCGGTTACAGTTACTGTTTCAATGAGTGGTAATTGGATTACAGTTACTTTGTTGAAATAAACAACACGGTGGTATTTTCCTGTTTTTTTTTTTTTTGGTAATTCCACTCATTGTCAGAAACCCAAACAGAAAAGAGCTCTGTAAACGTCTTGTTAATGTTGGTGGTGTCAGTCACACAATTTGTGTCTCGGAAATTCACACATCACTTTGTTTTTAAAGAAGAGGGGGACGGGCGTGTGGTGTGGGGGTGGTATGTGAGGGGTTCGCCGTCCACCCGCTTCTCCTGACATGCTATATAAAAAAATAACAAATATAAAACCACCTACAAGTTAAATGTCAAACCTGAGCTAATGGCAATGGTGAAAACGAACTGCATAGGCTCATGATATCTGCAGTACTGTCCTATAGTGACCTGAGACATGAGGGGACGCGCACACAAACACACTCAAACACACACAAACACACACAAACACACTCAAACACACACAAACACCCACCTTCATGATCATCATAAACGTCTCCTTCCGTACTGTGTGGACATCGCTGTCCTCCCGTGCGGGGGATGTGGTTGCTGCAGTCATGTAATTTTAAAAAGCACGACAATATCAAGTAATCCAAAGTATTCAGATTACGTTACTCACTTTAAGTAATTTAATGGATTCTGTTAAAAACTACATTTTGGGGTATGTAATCTGTAATCTGTAGGGGAATACTTTTTAAAAGTAACCTTCCCAACACTGGCTGCAGGTGTGATCTATGAAGAGGAAAGTGCAAGAGGGAGGGCTGCAGAGGGTTTTATAAAAAAATCACAATATTTTTTCATATACTGTATGTGAAATTTGTGTATTGTCTGTTTGAAACTTTTTAAAGTAGATTTTGACACACTCTTTTATAAATGAGGACCCAGTTCTGTGGAAAAGTGACCTTGCTCAGAATGTTTTTTAAGACATTTTTGAGCAAATAAAACATGAAAATGTAATGGAAAAAAAGCTATAACATCTCCATGGAAACAAGCAGGTGGCAGACTCTCCATCAGAAAAGTTGCATACTTATATTGTGAAGTATGTAAAAATTAAAAAAAGCTCTATTTGAACAAAAATGCCAGTAGCACCTTTATAATTGTGTTTTTTTTCTTGCAGTGGATGCGCTCTCGCTGGACGTCTGACCCGTGCTATGCCTTCTACGGGGTGGATGGATCAGACTGCTCCTTCCTCGTATACCTGAGTGAGGTGGAGTGGTTCTGCCCGCCGCTGCCTGGGAGGAACGGGAGCATCCTGCCCACCCCGGAGCCCCGGCCCAAAGAAAAGGTACTACAGGTTTATAGAGAGGTGGATGAGAGGAGAGAGTAGAGGAGACGGGAAGAGAAAGAGAAGGTAAACATTAGATAATGATTATACAAAGTAGTGTTCATAAATGACAAAATATATATACGAGCAAATCTGTTTTATTTCTCATAATTTATCTTAAAAAATATATAGTATATATCAAAGTCCGATCTTTTTTTTTTACTTAAAGACGAACTTGTGTAACATGTTTCTTGTTACCTGAAATGTTACTCAGTATCATTAAAGACGACATCATGTGCATATACAGAAGTTATACTCTGTGATACCTGTGGATCATTTGGACATTTAAAATTCCAATATTGATCTAAAACAAATGAACAAGTGGAAAAGTCAGCTGATTTCTGAGTTGTAAAATTGCGTGTCCCAGTGGGAGCCGATTCCCGCCCCTTTATGGTACATGCTTCACTTAAGTGCTCTTAAAGTTAATTTGTTTTGCTGTCATCTCGAAGATCTGGTCTAGGTGGATCACACAGACTTTGGCCACAACTTTCCGATGAGAAGATTAGCACATTTCTGCAGTATACTGTATTATCCACACTGTAGGGCGCTCTGGATTATAAGGCGCATTAAACGAAACACAACAGTTAGATAAGTCAGTCAAACTTTATTTAATGCGTTCACAATAACTCTCAACTTTGTTCAGTTGTAACGCGTATAAAAAATACTAAATTGTTAGCGTATTCACAATAACTCTTAATTGTTCAAACACTTGGGCGATTACGGTGTCCAGCACGCCCGCATCCCTCTCGTCATTATCCGAGTCAGTGTCGTTACTGTTCCCTGGCAGTTCAGTGATGATTCTGGTTTTGGTGAAAGCTCGGGCCACGGTTGATACTGATCCTTAGCCCAGGCGTCCACGATCCATTTGGCAGATCGTGGCGTAAGTCGTTTGGTGCTGTCTCCCTGTCTTGGTGAATGTGTGTTCACCTTCTCTCATCCACTGCTCCCACGCAGCTCGCACTTTCACTTTATAATAGCCTTGAGTTTAAAGTCGGTGTTGTAAGTGTGTCTCTTGACAGGTGACATTTTGATATTAAAAGGAATCACAGTATGTATTACTACTGTGTATTACTCTTGTATTATGTATTGATGCTCCTGACTACGGTTGCCGTAATGGTGCAAGTGGTGCAGCTTTGTAGTTTACTAAAGTCGTACTAAGACACACGAATAAATTCATATATAAGGTGCTCTGGATTATAAGGTGCACAGATTGTTTTTTGATGAAATTAAAGGCTTTTAAGTGCACCCTATAGTGCGGAAAATACGGTACCATAGGCTCTAAAACTCCTACAATGAACTGACCATGGTCATGAATATTCACTGTATTGAAAAAACGGTTCATCTTGACTGAATGAATCACTCTGTGGACATTCCAAGCACATAAATTACATCTACATGGAGACAAACAGTTTATGGGCTCCCTCCAGAAAAGTTAAATATTGGACAAGGGACAGTTTGTTCCAAAAGAGAAAGGAGAGGTTTAACAGCATATTTAAAGAAAAAGTATCATAACTAACCTTTAACAGAATACTTTTAGCGGCAGGCTGTATTGACAGATCGTATTTATTGTGAGAGACTAACAGACTTTCACTTATATATATGCACAGGTCAGTCCAGTTGATCAGTGACCTCAGGGAGAATGTAACTCTAAACCCGCCTCAGTCTGTCTGCTGCTGTTTCATTTCCTCTGTCTGCTGGACATATATTTGACGCTTTCTAGTTCTCATATTTTGTTCATTTTAATGAAATCTTTTGTCTATTTTGATAACTAGATGAGATATACGATAAGATAAGATAAGCCCACAGTCCCTCAGTGGGGAAATTAAAGTGTTCTAGATACATTTTGAAAGTGAATTGTCTCTTGTCTGATGAAATAACAAAAACAAAGCTCGAAATTACCCTTGTAACAACTACTGAAGACTTAACAATAGACATAAAAACTAACAACACTGTTCCAGCAGAGTAAAACTGTAAGGCTACAAAACAAAATACATTCTGCTCTTGCTTCTCCACAGATCTAACCTGTAACTTCAACGAATAATGTCATACTATTGAACATTCCAGGTAAAGCAGTACCAGCTCCACAGAGACAAGCAAGTGGCAAATACTCCACCAGAAAACTGTAACTTTTTTGATACCACAGTAGTACCTTTTAAGTCTTTGTAAGAAGTGATCCACAACAAGACTAGCACTGAGTCTTGCTTCTGTCCTGTGACGAAACCACTGTGATTATAGTGCAGAACCTGTTTCTCCTCTTCTCCTATGCATTTACTGTACAGCCTCATTCTAATTGCAAGCTTCTATTCACTCTAATCCCACAGGGTCCCTTGGGTGCTCTGCGTAGTGCTGTGCTATACGGGAGTTGTGCTTGAGAGCAATAATTCACCTGCATAGTGAGATGGTTGCATATTGATCAAGTCCCTGATTCTGGTCTAGTTTTAGCAGAGTGTGCATTACAGATAGTTGGGTCACTGGATACTCGGAGCAGTGCTGTGATTATGAGGGCCTGTATATGAGAGGCACGCATGAAAATATAAACAGGCAGGACCCCCTCAGGTGCAAAGACTGGCCTCGAGGCTTTTTATAAGTGTATGGGAGACCAGCTCTCTCACTTACGATTATAGCTACACTATTTTATTTATTTATTTGTATTTATCAACAGTATTTTTGTATTATCTTTTTATTTTTTAATGTATTGTGATTTATAAAACCCTCCGCAGCGCTCCCTCACGAGCTATCCTCTTTAGAGATCACACCTGCAGCACAAACCTGCGCACGTGATCCCACCTCATGCCACGCCCCTTTAATGCAACAGACTTATCCTGTTCATGAAACATTTAAGAGGGAGTGCTCTATTGAAACCATAGACTGTATAAAAGAAGTTGACTAAGCGAGTGTGACGTCACCCATCGTGTTCAGCGCCGCTCAATTCCGGGGCCAGGCTTTATTTTATGAACAGGATTTTTTGGCAGACAAAATAGCAAAAAAAAAAAAAAATCTGGATCACGTAGAGCGGAACAATACAAACATTTTAAGACCAAAATGACGAGGCTCATGCAACAGTTACAGAGAGAGGCAGACAAGATCCTAATGTAAGACAAGTGGAGCCAGGGTCAGAAGGAGCTGGTGGAGCCTCCTGGAGATCTTCCTATTTGACACATTGCGGCTAGTGCTGTAGCGATGTCCACTCATGGGGCTGTGTGAGTGACTGCAGCGTCTTTTGTCTGCATGTTTCTTCTGTGGGTCAGATGTAGGAGAGGGTCAGACGTATGGGTCAGCTGTAGAGGGTCAGACGTGTGGGTCAGATGTAGAGGGTCAGACGTGTGGATCAGATGTAGAGGGTCAGATGTATGGGTCAGATGTAGAGGGGTCAGATGTAGAGGGTCAGACATGTGGGTCAGATGTATGGGTCAGATGTAGAGGGTCAGACGTGCGGGTCAGATGTATGGGTCAGATGTAGAGGGTCAGACATGTGGGTCAGATGTATGGGTCAGATGTAGAGGGTCAGACGTGCAGAGGGTCAGATGTAGAGGGTCAGATGTAGAGGGTCAGACGTGCGGGTCAGATGTAGAGGGTCAGATGTATGGGTCAGATGTAGAGGGTCAGACGTGTGGGTCAGATGTAGAGGGTCAGACGTGTGGGTCAGATGTAGAGGGTCAGACGTGTGGGTCAGATGTAGAGGGTCAGATGTATGGGTCAGATGTAGAGGGTCAGACGTGTGGGTCAGATGTAGAGGGTCAGATGTATGGGTCAGATGTAGAGGGTCAGACGTGTGGGTCAGATGTAGAGTGTCAGAGGGTCAGATGTATGGGTCAGATGTAGAGGGTCAGACGTGTGGGTCAGACGTGCAGATGGTCAGATGTAGAGGGTCAGACGTGTGGGTCAGATGTAGAGGGTCAGATGTGGGTCAGATGTAGAGGGTCAGACGTGTGGGTCAGACGTGCGGGTCAGATGTAGAGAGGGTCAGATGTAGGGTCAGATGTAGAGGGTCAGACGTGTGGGTCAGATGTAGAGGGTCAGATGTATGGGTCAGATGTAGAGGGTCAGACGTGTGGGTCAGACGTGCGGGTCAGATGTGTGGGTCAGACGTGTGGGTCAGATGTAGAGGGTCAGACTCTCTCCCCTCTCTGCTTCTTGCTGCTCTCTTTGCCATGTTTCTGAAAAATGTCAGCCCCAGACATTGCGTGGATGCAAAGAATTTTTCACATTCATTGTTTTTTTACAAATACCAACTTTGACGTGACATGTTGTGCACACACAGTTCTGAGCTTGTTTTGTGAGTATGGAATAATGTAAATGAGGCCCCAGGCCAGTAGGGCTGACAGATAAGGGAAAAATACCTAACTGCAGTTTTTCTGCCAAGCATTGTGATTTAGGATTCTATTCAAAGTTCACATTTCAAATGTATTCAGAAGAAGTGGCAAAAACACTGATATGAACTTACAAATACAAGAATCACGTTTCAGATTATAAACTACCGGGTCTGCAGTTTTTATGCAGAATAAGACAGAAGATTTTGTTTTTGTGGAGGAAATAGTGGTCTCTCAAAAATTGCAGCCTTTGTGATTTGCTAATTGAATCCATTCAAATGGCAATTTATGATTGATTTCAAATAACCTTACCCAATCAAAATTAATCACAAGCTCAGATTCAATTGTATTAATAACTGCCATTTAGGACAGTTGAGTAGACACATTTCACCCTACAAATTATAAACACTGTTTTGTTTTGTTTCATTCACACATGTTTAATACACACACCCTAAATATTTCTTCTCTCAAATAAAAAAGTTCCACCTTGTGATGTCATGTGCTCATGTGTCATGTAGTGGTAGATAACATCTACGTTTTACTTTTAGTTTGCTGTTGAACTCCCTTAATATGCATAAATAATAAACACAACTCCAAGTCTATTTGTGAAAAGGAAACATTATAAGATAGATCATAACATAGCTTTATCTTTTTCTTTTCCTCCTCTCAGGCTGAGTTCCAGTTTGACGTGGGACCTCTTCTGGAGCAGGTGGGCACCAAGAAGGAATCTCAGAACTTCATGAAGAGGAGAATGCGCATGCTGGCTGCACAGTGGGCTTCAGCTGCTCGACGACTCCATGAGAAACTCCGCCAACAGTGGAGAGAACGAAAGAGGGTAAAGAACTTAAACCTGACAAAACTATCCCTGCTCTAATAAAAAATACATATATATCATTTTGAATACCTAATCCATTCTGAGCATTCTAATTATTCACCACAATGAGTTTATAAGCAGAGCAGAGTTTTGCCATCACAACATTACTAACAACAACTAGCATGCTAACCGAGATTATACATTTTTGTTGCAGAAGCACACAGTCTCTTTTTGACCATCAGAGCTGCTTTAACAACATATATTTGACGGAGTAGAAGCGATTTTGCTCAAGTCCATGGGAAAAAATAAATAAATAAGGATACACTGATACTGAAAAAGTTGCTGGATCAGATATCGACTTCCAAATATCCAAGTTTGGCATAAAAATTGATGTAATAAGACTGGTCACAAATGGCCTAGAAAAACTTTTGAACTTGTAAACGGAGTTGGTCTGTAGTTGCTTGAGAGATAAATAACATAACTGAATTGGTTTTGTCTTATTCTACTTTTGTTTAAAGGAAATAAATGCTGTTTTCAGTCTGGCACGGGTTGATATCGGGTATCGGCTGAAAGCTTTAGTATCGAAATCGGTATCGGAACTGAAAAAGCTTGATTGGTACATCCATTTAAAACTGTGTATAGCCTCTAATAGAAGTATAATCACGTCAGAGATTCAGTCATTTCTAATTATGGATCACTCAGAGCTTGTGCATGTTTGAGTAATTTATTTTATTTAAATTATTGATTTTAAGGATTGAGTGCTCTAAAAATATTTCTTTTCACAACTATCAGCTTCTGTCGTTATTTCAGACGTGTCAAACTCAGGTCCGCGGGCCAAATTTAGCCCGCGACATAACTATATTTAGCCCGGGAGATTATATCAAATGTCTATTAAAGTTGACCCGCCGGCTACAGATCGACTATAGAGACATTATTTATTTAAAATGTTGTTATTATTTTATATTTTGCTTGTTCTGGATTCAGTCTTTAAGCGAAACTATTATTAAACATTTATTTTAATAAGAAAAGGTTTAACATTACATGTCTCGAAAGAAGAGAAAACATGCAGATGTTGTTGAAATTTTTCAATAAATATTTAGTTTGGCATATGACTTAGTCCCAATTTTTTATTTTGTCCCTCTGTGAATTTGAGTTTGACACCCCTGCACTATATCTTTGTACTTGTGTTATCCTTATTCCTGCGTTAAATTATTTGAAAAATTTATACTCTGTAATCCTATGAATGTGACTTTTTTAGTATCGATACCTGTACCCAAATGAGTTTCAAATTTCGAGTCTAATTTTAGCATCAGAGTTTCAATACTTTTTACAACCCTTGTACCTACACTGCATACAAGTATAAAAACACAACTGAAGCACGTTTAAAAAAGTAAAACTGGCTGCAGAAAGCTATGGGCCCCTCCAAAAGCCGGTTTCATCTCCACTGGTTTGATAGGCCTCCCTGTTTTTTGAAAGCACAGGATGTTTTGGGATCAGACGCTGTAGTTGTTGCTTTTATGTTAGCGAATCCGCCGTGACATTTTGTTGGACTTACTCTTTGGCTGTTCCTCTCCTCTTCCTCTCAGCGTGGTGCACGGTTTGTTCCCACATAAGCAGATAATGATAGGGCTAACTCTGAGAAGCCATCGATTATACCTTGGCGGATGACATTTACAGGGACATTTTCGCAAAGTGCCTAGTAGTCCGCTTATTTCCAACAGGATTTTCCAGGCCACATGCGTCGAATAGCTAATTTTTCAACGATCAATATTATGCAATGAGTTTGTAATCATGTTACAATGTAATTACTGTAGTTAAAGACCCAGAACATCTCTTAATGTGTGAACCTTTATTCATATGAAGCTGTTGAACTGTTCCTTGTTGAATAGATACATTGCAACACAAAATTTTCATCAAATTTTGTTAAAAAATATATATAATTTCCTTCTGTACGCTGGTATTGGTTAATATTCTTAACGACAGATACTTAAAGCCTTAGTATCAATATCGGTACTGGACCTGAAAAAGCTGGATCGGTGCATCCCTCATTATGTTTGGTAATATCACTTAATTGGGATCCTGCCTGTTTATTTAGACATGTCTTGCTCAAAAGCTCAAAACACTCTGTTCCATTAAGCGATGTCATGAGGTGTTCCCGCCTACTCCAGGAAGTGCTTTTGTGGTTTTTTTTTACTTCTTTTTACAAAGGTTACAGGCATTTCCCCTTTATGGAAGCCAGGAGGGCTTATACCAAACGCAAACGCAACAAATACAAACACGACAACACAACAAAAAGCCACAATAGAAGTGATTGCAGGACTCTATTTTCCGATGGACCAAGCGACACTCAGACAGTGACATTGATTCTGGCCACAAAACAATAAATTACTTTTACTTACGTTTCCAACTTCGTTCACTTCTCCGTTCCTTTACTTTTCACATTCTCTAGGCGGAAAATAGAGTCCTGCGGTAACTTCCGTTGTGGCTTTTTATTGTGTTGTGGTGTTTGTATTCGTGTTGTGGCGTTTTCATTTGTGTTATAGTGTTTGTATTTGTGTTGTGGTGTTTGTATTTGTGTTGTGGTGTTTGTATTTGTGCTGTTTGTATTTGTGTTGTGGTGTTTGTATTTGTGCTGTGGTGTTTGTATTCGTGTTGTGGCGTTTGTATTTGTTGCGGCATTTGGATTAAAATAGAGTCCCGTCGTCACTTCAATTGCGGCTTTTTTTGGTTTACTTTGGCTTTTTTTCGTGTTGTCGCCTTTGTATTTGTTGCACCGTTTGCGTTTGTTGTCAGCCCTCCTGGCTTCCATTCCCCTTCGTACCAGATGCTCACTTTGTACCTTTAACCATTTTTATCTAGTTAAGCAGCAATGGCTAACCACTAGGGATGTAACGATATCCAAATCTCACGGTATAATATTTTCACAATATATATCTCACGGTACGATATTCATTGCGAATATTTTGTGGAGGCTAACAAAAATGTGAATATGTTACTTTTTCATCTTAAAATGCCTTAACAAGACTTAATTCAAAGACTGCTATTTCTTTTTGTAGTTTGTGCCAAAATGGAGCAAAGGATCATGGTCGATGTAGTTCTCTTTGTTTTGTTTTTAGTTATTGCTGCATCATAACAATGAATTTAAGCAAAGAAACTTGTGATTCGATATATTGTGACGGCCATCGATAGTATTGAGAGACTTTTGATGGTGCGATATCACAATATTTCATCCTTACTAAACACCATGCTAGCGAAATGTCGAAAATGACACGAACACGATTTGTTCTGAATTTTGAGAAGCAATGGTATGATGGTCACTTGCAATTTCTTGCTATTTCTGAATGAATACAAAGCTCGGTGTGGGGTAGTCGGCCACCTTAAACAAAAATCGTATTAAAATATCAGCTTACTTGGTGACAACATGCAGGAGGACACGATGTGTGATTATTTTGTCTTTTTATTTGAAACCCAAACCCTAAAACTAATAAAACAATGCGTATTAGATAAGAAAGGTTCAGCTAAATATAAGTGGGCACCATGTACAAAAAAACACATTTCTCAAACATTGTGAAATCTGAATAATAGAACCTTTTGTGGTTTGAGCATTGCGACCATAGGTTTCAGGCAAATACTTCCTTCCAGGTATGAAGGATTTTGTGAGGATTCAATATGTTGATTTGAATTGTGGTATTGCTATATCAGAGGATTGTTGCTATGCCAAATCCTTCAAATCAGGAAAGGATCCATACATCTGAAACCCCTGAATAGATCCTTCCTGCGTTTGTGAACAGAATAACTCCTTTGTAAAGGCTGGTACTGCTCCATCCGTACATAAGCTCGAATGCGTTCTCAATAGAATAGTTAACTAGGACTGCTTTGGCACCTGACACCAAAGAAGAAAATATTAAATCATGTAGAAGTGTTAAAGGCCTCATATTACGCTATTTTCTGATCCATGTTATAATGGTGTTTCTTCATCATTAACATACCTGGAGTTATGTTTTGTTTCATTCACACCTCTTTAACCCAAAATCCTGCATATTTATGGTGAGTTCACACTGTTCCACCTTGTGATGTCAAGTGATAATACAGGAAATGCTCTACTGTGTGTTTTTTTTTTAACTCCGTATACCTTCACTAGAATCATTTGGATGATTTCAGCCCTAGAATTGCCCATTTCCATCCATCCACCCATCCATTTTCTTCCGCTTATCTGGGGCTGGGTCGCGTGGGCAGCACTCTAAGCAGGGACTCCCAGGACTTCCTTCACCCTATACACTTCCTCTAGCTCTTCCGGGGGGACGCCAAGGTGTTCCCAGGTGAGCCAAGAGACATAGTCCCTCCAGCGTGTCCTGAGTCTTGCCCGGGGCCTCCTCCTGGTGGGACATGCCCAGAACACCTCCTGAAGGAAGCGTCCAGGAGGCATTCGGAACAGATGCCCGAGCCACCTCAGCTGGCTCCTCTCAGCTTGAAGGAGCAGCTGCTCTACTCCGAGCTCCTCCCGTGTGACTGAGCTCCTCACCCTATCTCTAAGGGAGCGCCCAGACACTCTGCGGAGGAAACTCATTTCAACCTCTTGTATCTGCAATCTTGTCCTTTTGGTCATTACCCAGAGCTCATGACCAGAGGTGAGGGGAGGAACGTAGATTGATGGTAAATCGAGAGCTTGGCCTTTCGGCTCAGCTCCCTCTTCACCACAACGGTCCGATACAGCGACCGCATTACTGCCGACTCTGCACCGATCCGCCTCCAATCTCACACTCCATCCTCCCCTCACTTGTGAACAAAACCCCGAGACACTTGAGCTCTACGTTGATGATCTCTACAGAACAAAAATTATAAGGTAGCTGTTAACTTGAAAACTGCCACTACATAACATCACAAAGTGGAAAAGAGCATTTTAAGTGGTGTAGACAGACTAATAATAAAGGATTACTCAAACATGTGTGAATGAAACAAACACAACTCCAGATATGTTTTTGATGGGGTAATAAAACGATTACATGGCTTAAAGCTCAGTT